TTACCAGTACACTTGGTACAATCAAAAACCTGATAATAAATTGTTCAAATAAGGCCTTCGAAAATAGTGGAATTAATTACTTTTGGAGTGTCAAGAACTCGTTGGAAGTACTTGATAAATTGCATGCATATATTGGTGATTTTGAATCTGTTCAAAGTTTTGATTTTTCTACCCTATATACCACATTGCCTCACATTCTCATTAAGAAAAAATTCACACACCTAATTAAATGGGCATTTAAAAAGTCAGAATGTGAATATATATGTTCAAACTCTTTTAGGTCATTTTTTAGTAGCAATAAACAAAAAAACTATGTCAATTGGACATGCTTTGATACTATATATGCCCTTGAATTTTTACTAGATAACATTTTTGTTCGCTTTGGAGATTCCGTATATCGTCAGGTTATCAGAATGGGGACTAACTATGCACCACTTATTGCGGACCTTTTTTTGTATTGCTATGAGTTACAATTTATGACAAAAATCAGCAAAGACCCATCGAAACAACATCTGATACACAAATTTAATAATACTTTTAGATATTTGGATGATATTTTGGCTCTCAATAATGACGACTTCAGTATGTATACTAAAGAAATTTATCCTGTTGAACTTACTTTAAATAAAGCTACTAACAATGACCACTGCCCTTTCCTCGATCTTGATATCTATATCATTAACGGAAAGCTTAATACTAAAATATATGATAAAAGAGATGATTTTTCATTTCCTATCGTTAATTATCCATTTTTAGATAGTGACGTTCCCTTGTCACCATCTTACGGTGTTTATATATCTCAACTTGTACGATTCGCTCGTGTATGTAACAATGTTTTAGATTTTAACGAGAGAAATTTATGTATTACTGAAAAATTATTACCCCAGGGTTTTCGATATCACAAACTAGTCAAAACATTTACTAAATTTTATCATCGGTATAAGGACATCATTCGTAAATATAGCTCAACATGCAGACTTCTTATACGTTCAGGTATTTCACATCCAATTTTTTATGGAAATATTCTTTATAAAGCACAAAAATGTCAGTATTCACCTCTGAAGCTAACAAAACCTTTAAATAGACTTATTAAGAAGGGATATAGTTACGATACTGTTGTCAGGTCATTAAAGATTGCATATTTTGGCGTTGATATTGATTCACTTATAAGGTCTTTGCATCGGCACTAAACACATTTATTTAAAAACCATTTGTTGGCATGACACGGGTTATGTTCTTCTCGTATATGTTATGATGGTATGATACTAAACCCCTAACGGGAAGGATTGTGCCTGATATTCATATGATGAAGACATAATCTTTCAATCAGTTTAATTGAAGTCTGGAGCTGGCATGTCAGTTAACTGCTAGTAGTCTGTTGTTATTTATGTATTATTGTCATTTTGTTTATTTTCTTTGGTTACATCTTCTGACATCAGACTCGGACTTCTCTTGAACTGAATTTTAATGTGCTTATTGTTATGCGTTTACTTTTCTACATTGGCTAGAGCTATAGGTTGAGATCTCATAAACATGTTTAACCCCGCCGCATTTTTGCGCCTGTCCCAAGTCAGGAGCCTCTAGCCTTTGTCAGTCTTGTATTATTTTTAATTTTAGTTTCTTGTGTACAATTTGGAGTTTAGTATGGCGTTCATTATCACTGAACTAGTATATATATTTGTTTAGGGGCCAGCTGAAGGACGCCTCCGGGTGCGGGAATTTCTCGCTGCATTGAAGACCTGTTGGTGACCTTCTGCTGTTGTCTGTTCTATGGTCGGGTTGTTGTCTCTTTGACACATTCCCCATTTCCGTTCTCGATTTTATTAAATTGAGAAATTCTGGCATAAGCAGAAATGTTCAGAATATTGAGTTCTACAAGTTGTCCATATACGTCAAAACTGTCAGACGACTTCTTCAATAAGTTATTGCCCTTAAATTACCCTTTTCCCCCTTTTTTCTCACTATCTTGAATTGAAAACTATAATTGATAGAGAAAAAATTTATGGTGCAAAAACGATCAGCAAGACAAGTTCTACAAATAAGGACAATTTGTCGAAATCGTCAGATGACTCCCTTTTAAAGTTATTGCACTTTGATGACCATTTTAACATTTTTTTTGGCGTTTTGTCTTATATGATAAAATTTATAATAGATGAATAGACACTTTAAATCACAAAAATTACCAGCAAGCCAAACAGTCGATGAAATAGAATTTCAAAATGTCCGTAGTTGCTATAAAAACAATGTTCTCTTTTGAAAGACAATTACTAGTAAACAATTTGAGGAGCATTTTAGATTTGGATTTCATGTTATTTATCAGGATTATTTACAGAGATCTATATTACACACAGTGACAATATTATTTTCTCGGGGAGTATACACTCGTTCGTTATATTAATGATACATGTACATATATTTTGTGGAACACCATTATGTAAATTTTGGAAAACTCTATTAAGAATTAAAGTTCGTAAAGTTAATAAACGATGCAAAAAAAAAAAAAGAAAAAAAAAACACATTTTGAAACATACTTTATTATCATGAACAATAAAAAATACTGATTTATTTTATTAGAAACGACTAAAAAAAAGAAAGAAAATGACACATTAAAGTTTTTAAAGTAATCAATCAATCAATCAATCAATCAATTAATCAATCAATTATCAATCAATTAATCAATCAATCAACTTATTGTCCAACAAAAAATTATTTCTCGTGACATGTTGTAACCTCTAATTCGGCAAAAATGAACCTTGATTCCATGGTAGGGCAGCAAGATATATCGACTTCTCGGAAACAGACATCAAAATTACTACCGATTTCCACGTGCGTATGGAATGGAAGAAACTTTATCGGGTATTGCTCTAGACATGTAAAAGAGTAAAATATAGGAAGGTAAAAAATAAGTAAGTTGGAGAGCAGAAAACAAAGCAATCTTCAACGAAACATTTAAAAACATTTAACGTCAGCTATTACCGAAGAAATATTCTTGAATTTTATATATTTATCAAATTAACCAAATCGAATTCAGAGAAAAAACATATTCATAGCCAGAAATTAATAGTATTTTTGCTAATTAATATTCATGATATGTAAATGAGAATTGTACCACGTGATAATAGTTTGAACTGGACTGGCTTGATATCATTAAAATCTTTAAAACACGGATATTATAAGTTGCCCGTCACAGAGTCCTTGTTTATAATCACTCTGATATTTCCGTAAAGTTGTCAGGCGGTCAAAATCAAAACAATGAACGCGAATTTAGTGAATTTTTCGTGTTTTCGTGAGTTTATTCTTCTTGAAATAGAGGCATTTTAACTTTACGTGGGAACCTAGAGTCCAACGACTACACATACAAGGTTTGGACTTGCTTATTCTTTGGACATTCAAGTTTCAAGTTTCACCCCGGCAACCTGTATTTCTAATGACCTTGTTAGCCAATTTTCAACACGAAGTTTGCAAATTTGACGTTTAAGCCATTTTAACCTGTATTTTATACTGCAATGTTTAAAGCCTCTCGCTTCGATTTTTAAAATAGCTCAGGAACCTTGATTTTTGCAACGCCAGTCATTATATTTCGTTTAAATTGTGTATATTGTTGTGTATATTTATTTTCTGCCCCGGCAACCTGTCTATCACTTAAATCAAAGTTAAAACAGACATTTTTTCTAAATTCCCTATCATTTCAATATAATTTCCGTAACCCGTATCCGATTTCTTTAGTATAATATTAAAATAAGCAAAGTGGCGTTGATTTCTGGATATGATATCATATGCCCTAGCTTGCACGAATTTGCTCTGCTATTTGGAGAACAGCGAACAACCATATTTTTCTAATTAATGCTGTTCAATTGAATTTAGTTTGTCCTTTGATTTGTATTTTGTTGCTTGTCAAATTGACATCATTTTTCAGTAATCTCATCACAATAGAAATGATCGGCACGCTTTTTTGAAAAGCCTTTGTTTGCTTGTTTACGGAAACATTTCAAATTTTACTTCCCGGTACAACAAAATTGACACAGGTGATTTTGTCCTTGAATTTTATAATTTTTATAGCATGTTTAGCTGTAGTAGTCACAGAGGAAAATCATTCTGAAAAGTGTAGTAAAAACATTTTTGTTACGGTCATATTTCATGATACAGAGGTCAACAATGCCGGAATTTCTATGGCTGTAATGAAGTAATTACTGTTGTTCACGTGGAATCTTTGGCTAAAATGGCTGCATTTTCACAGTGAAAGTACTCTTGAGTAAAGACAAACCTGAGTATCTAGAAAAATGTTAAGGCATAGCATGCTCTATATAGATAAATTTCGTATACATTTTATATTTTAGAAAATTGAAAATTTAACTGGATTTTGCAGTGAAAATTTTTTCATACCTCCAGAAGGCATAAACAAAGTTGGGAAAGAGGTTTGAGAAGTTCAGCTCAGAACTTCCCCACGGGTAATGATTGAAATGCCATGGAAAATATAGGGACAATAGATATACCTGACGATAGTTTGTGATTTAAACTGTGTACCTGAATAGGGAAAACGGTACTATTTATTCTGCCATAGGCGACAATACTAACATTTTTTAAATTTACCACTTTTTATAATAAAAACCTGGATAAAACAGTTATGTGTGGTGTTAGAACTTTATTATTCTATTTTAAAAATTGAAGCCAAATAGTATCATGAGCAATTTCCAACGGAGCTTGTTTATTTTATCCATGCCCACCGTCATTTTACACCAAATTTATGAAATTTTGGAAGCCTTTTCGAATAATTCTCTAGAAAATATTTCAATAGGTTTTAAAATTTATATTGTAAATATACACACTGCAGTTATTCATAGATAAATAAAAAAATATATTGTACCCTTACATCCAATCACAGCGCTCCTAATTTGACTTCCTTCACCTGCCTTGGGTACACAAAAGGCCAACCTAATGCTGGGAAAATGTAATAGTACCGTTTTCCCTATACTGTGACATTAAGATATAAAGAATTCTTTTTTTTTTTTTTTTTTATCTAAAATCTGATTTATTGCACTATTGCTGTTATAATGAATACCATGTCTACAGCATTTGACAGGGCACCCCTGTAGGATTAGTTTTACTGAACAAACAGGGAGATTGCTCAGTACATTAATAATAATAAATTGTTAGATTTACATTCTATGTATCAATACAACAGATTACTTCAGAAATTAATTTCCGGAAAAATTACAATCGTGGACCGCTTTGACTCTGTATATGTTAGTTGACCTGGTTATGACCTGTTGATCAACGATCATACGATGGAGGCAAGCTAACTGGCGAAGCTGCTTGTACTTATTATTAATTATGTAGGTATACATACTTGGTTGCGAATTGATGTGTTTATATCAGTTTAGTTATTTGTGAATATGTGATTTAAAAAAAAAAAAAAGTAAGGATGCTTTTAGGATAATTGGGGTTTAATGTTTTATCACTGATCATGATCATGACGAAGTCCACAACACGTGGTCTAAAGATTAAATAATGATGAGACACATGTATTGCTGAATAAATATAGCATATAACATATATGCATAAAATAATAATTATATGTACAAGCTTATTTCTTTCAAAATGTTACCATGTTTAACTCCTGTTAGTGTCGAAATATTTAAATAGTTCAAAAAATCTTTTTTGAACAGGGCATATACATCAAGATTTGTAGTTTTATAATTTGAAATGTGAGTACACTTGTGGATGGAAAATGTAATGAGTGTTACCAAAAGATTTATGTCATAATAATTGATGTCACAGATTTTATATCCTACTATGAGATTTCTGTAGTTTAGGATATGATGACCAATTTTAACTTTATTTAATAGTATTTTGATCTTTTCCCAAAAAGCTTCAAAGTATTGACATTCCAGAAAAAAATGTTTATAATCTTCTGTTTCATTACATAAGTCACATTTACTGTCTTCTTTTATCTTCCATTGAAAGAGCAGTTGTTTACAAGGAAGGATATGATGCAACAATTTCCATTTAAATAGTTTTAATCTGTTATCTTTTAAATAAGTAAATACGAAATTTAGCATTGATTTAATTGGGATTAAAGAATCTAAATTTAGTACACGTTTCCATTTTAAGAAACCTGAAGGTATGTCTTCATTTCTACTATTAATGTGTGTGTATATCTGTTTTGTTTCCATTGCTTGTAAATTTGTTATTTTTTTTTTTTCTTTTGTCTTAATACAAAGGTTAAGTTTATTTTTTACTTTTGATTTTATTGATTGATCTGATTTAAGTGTCTTGAGCCATTCATTTGGTATAGCGTATTTAATTTTTGAAATTTCAAACATTAAATTGGATTTTGAGGGTATTTTATTAGATATTATATCTTGAGAGATGTTACTATTCTGGTCAATAATATCATTAACATACATAATACCTTTTTTTATCCATTTTATAAAAATTAAACATTTTCCTTGAAACTTTATCATTTTATTTCCCCATAAGATTTGTTGTCTAATGTTTTTAAAATTCATCGTGAGTTTGGTGTTATTTAAATTTTGTACTTTGAACCAGGATTTTACAATTTCTAAGTAGAATTTTGGTAAAGTTTTATGTAGGTTTTGTATGGAGTAAATGTTATCTGGATTCATGTAAAGTAACATGAAATTAGCACCAAATTTATTTAAGTAAAATGTCGGAATCACTTTCCAGTTAGCAAAATTATCTGCAGTTAGTCTTTTAATCCATGCTATTTGTAGTGCAGTTATATAATTGTCTATATCTGTCATCTTAAGACCTCCATCAGTAGTATCTTTGCTTAATATGGTTCGTTTTACTTTTTCTTTTTTACCATCCCATATAAAATTATAAATAAGGGTTTTAAACTGTTGAATAAATTCATGTGGTAGGTTTGTGACTGAAGCCAAATATGTAAGGTTTGGTATAAGAAGAGATTTTACAATTGTTATTTTACCTATCATTGTAAGATTTCTTTTTTTCCAATTACTTATTAATTTGTCACATTTTTGTATTATTTTTTCAGTATTAAGCTTATCACATTCAGCTCGATTTGTTCCAAAATAAACTCCTAGACTTTTTATTGGTCCTTTATTCCATTTTATGTTTTCAAACTTATCTTTACAGTGTTTTAATTTTCCTAACCAAATGCCCTCTGTTTTTGATCTGTTAAGTTTTAAACCTGATAGTGTTCCAAAGATTTCAATAATATTAAGAGTGTGACATACTTCATTTTTTGATTTTAGAAAAAGTGTTGTGTCGTCAGCTAATTGTGAGATCTTTAAACTATGTGTTTTAGTATCTAGCTTAATTTGAAAACCTTTGATGTTGGTGTCTTGTCTTATTCTGCAGGACAAAATTTCTACGGCAATAACAAAAATCAGGGAACTTAACGGGCAGCCTTGCCTAATACCGCGCTTAATGTTGTATGACGATGAGACCCACCCATTGTTTAACATACAACCTTTTATATCTTTATACAGAGTTTTAACCCATTTTATAAAAAGATCTGGAAGTCCAAATTTCTTTAGTGCTTCATACATAAATGGCCATTCCAATGAGTCAAAAGCTTTGGAAAAATCTATGAAGAGCAATGCTCCTTCAATATTATAGTATTCTGCATGGTCTATTATGTCTTGAATCTGACGAATGTTGAAACCTATATACCTATTTTTTATGTAACCATTTTGGTCACTATGGATAATTTTAGTTAGTATTGGCTTAAGACGTAATGCTAAAGAATATGCCATAAGTTTTGTGTTAACATTGAGTAAAGTAATTGGTCTATAGTTGTCCAGAAGAAGAGGGTTTCCTTTTTTATATAATAAAGAAACTACCCCTATTTTTTGTAGTGTGCTCATTTCTTCTTTTTGATAGCATATGTTAAATACTTTTACAACAATTTCTTTTAAATTTGTCCAGAAGGTTCGATAAAATTCTACACTGAGCCCGTCAATACCTGGTGATTTATTTAATTTCATGGATTTAATAGCTTCTGTACATTCATTTATAGTAAGCTCCCCTTCTAGATTTTGAGTTTCCTCCTGAGAAAGAGTTTTATCTACTTTTGTTTCTTTTATATATTTTTTTATTTCATTTTCATTAGGATCTGTACTTTTATATAAGTTTTCATAAAAGTTTTTTTCTAACTTTAGAATTTCAGATGAATCTGTTATAGTTTCTCCTTTTTCATTCGAAAGGGCAGAAATATTTTTACGAGTTTGTCTGGATTTTTCAAGGCCTATAAAAAATTTTGTGTTTTTTTCTCCTTCTTCTGTCCATTTTACACGCGATCTAACCTGAGCTCCCTTTGCTTCATTTATGTAAAGGTTTTCTAGTTTTTTCTCAACATTGTTTATTTTATTTTGAACATTATTATCCTGGAAGTTTTCTACATTTTCATTCAATTTTTTAATGACAGTTCTAATTTAATTATTTCATTTTTATTTTCAGCTTGTTTTTGCCTGCAGTATTTTATGGTTATGTCCCTTACTTCAGCTTTAAAAACATCCCACTTAACTTGAGGATCTAAAGCCTTTGTAAGTATTTTTTGTTTGTAAGTTTGAATCAAATTATTAATGAGATTTTGATATTGTATGTCGTTCAGTATACTATTATTAATTTTAAAGAAACCTCTGCCTCTGCTTTGTGCTTTGTGTCGTAACTTTAACGAAATTGCTTGATGATCAGTGTAAGAAATAGCAGCTGGTCTAATATCTGCTGCTGTAATATGTGGTCTTATGTCAGAGCTGATAAGAAAATAATCTATCCTGCTTGCTATGCTAAAGTTATTTTTCCTTCTCCAGGTAAACTGTGTTTTGTTTGGGTTAACTTCTCTCCATATATCAATTAACTTATGTTTCTTTATTAACTGTTTTAAACTATTTACAGGTTTATTAAATTTTTGTGTACTCGTACTTTTTCAGTCAGACTTTCGTTTATATCCCCTCCAAGTATTAAAATACCTAATCTGTTATTCTCAATTAAGTTGCTTATTTTTTTAAAGAAAGAATTTCTATTTCTTTGTATATTTGGTGCATATACATTTACTAAAGTGAAGATGTTATTATCAAGTTCAACATTAATTAAAATAAACCTACCCTCTTCATCTTTAGTTTCATTTATTATTTTGTGATTTATATTATCTTTAATTAAAATTGAAACACCTCTAGATTGGGAATTGCCAAAGCTGTGGTATATCTTACTTTTAGTTTCACTGTTTATTGTATTTATGTTTTTATCAATGAAATGGGACTCTTGAATAAACAGGATGTCACATTTTTGATTTTCACACCAGATATGTAGTCTAACTCTTTTTTCTTTTTGTCCTAACCCTTGGCAGTTCAAGGAGCAAATATTTAAATTATTACTCATCTAAATTAGAAACTATTCATGTATTAGCAAAGATTTCTACATAGATATACATCATATCTTAACTAACTGTTCTAAGTTGTTGTATACAATACAACTAAAAGTATAATAGTAGGCATACATAAGTGTATATAATATATGTGTGTCATAAAAATATTGGTTTTTACAATAATACAGTTCTACAGTTCTCTTTGACCTTACTTTGTGCTGTAAACTTGATAGATTTAAGTATGTTTTTACTTTTTTCAAAGGTGTAGAATGTACATGTATGTGTATAGGAGATTGATTTTCAGAAATTACTTTTTCTATTTTCAGATATTTGGATTGTTCAGTAAGGATTGTTCGAGCACTCAACGACATTATAACTATGAATATTCACTTAAAGCTGTGTGTGTCATGTGTTTTAAAACAATACTGATCTGTACCTGTAGTGAATATACTACGTCAAAAGGATTAACATAGCTAGTTAAGGAGTGTTTGTGTCTGGATAATATGGTGCAAAGATATATAAATGTATTTAGTTTCGTACTTCCCGTGTGTGATGCGGTATATGGTGGTGTACTAGTTGTGTACCATATGTGCAATTTCGTAGGAATATTTAGTGGTTGATATACTTTCCATGTATCCTTGTTTAAATTGCAGAAAAAAGAAGATTCGTTTATACAATCAATGCATAAATACGCTTTGATGATGAGCTGAATGAAACTTACGCAGCATATTGAAGTGAACAGTAGAACTAATGATCGTTTGTTTACTAGTAATTAAAAAATTTCTCTTTTCATAGGTTTATTGCTTGTTTTATAATTAGCTGGTTCTTTCAGACAAATATTTTTGTTGATGTTTTGAGAATAAAATCTCTCATACCTATAAGTTAAATTAAACATTACACTATTTTCTATTTCTATATCGTCAATTGAGAACATATGATCCAAGGTTGTATCATATTCCTTTCTTTGATTGGTTAGTATACTATTCTTATCAACACAGATACAAAATATGGAAGATAAGCCATTTTCATTTTCAATATCATCATTCGAACACATATAATCTAATATTATATCATATTCTTTTTTTTGTTTTTTTACATAATGAGTAAAAGCAATGAAAAAACATAAAATGAAAACACTATTTATGTTTACCATAACATCAATCGAACACATACAATCTTTTATTGCAAAATGCTCTTTTTTTTCTTTTTTTTTTACACTGTAAATAAAAACACAGAAAAAAAGTAAATATATACAAATGTTCATGAAATTAGCTAGATAATTATACTATTTAATGTATATAAAGTGTATGTACATTTAGTTGTGATTGCTGATAGTTAGGGTCCCTTAGGTTTCTGAATATTTGATGTGCGTTCATGAATTTGGTCAGTTGGTGTTGTTGCTGGGCGTTTGTCTTTACGACCATCCGGTGTTCCAACATTGTCGTTCCCTTGGAAGTGAAAGAATAATGTTGGTTGAGTAGGATTCTCCTCGTTGTCTTTATTCAGTTGTTGTTGACCGTCTTTTTTGCCGGACTTTTTTTTAGCTTTAGCTTTTGCTTTTGCTTTTTTAATTTCATTGTTATGTTTAGCTGCTGAATTGCCTTGGTGTTCAGGCTCATTCATATCATGAGCTGCATCACTTTTATTTGAAGCATTATAGCTGAAACTTGCGCTTGTGAGATTGAAATCTTTTAAAAAAGACGGAGACTGATTAGTGGTTCCAATATTTGTAGTGTTTGTTTGTTTATGTTTAGTTATATTCTCGTCTTCACTTGTCAAATCTTCTGATTCTGGTTCATGTATGCCATTATTGTTGACATTGACTGGCTGGTCTTGGGCGTTGTCACTTGTGGTCCCGAAATTGGGACACTCAGCTTTTTTATGTCCGGGATTATTACATGATGTACATACCCATTGATTTGGACAGTCTCTGAGCCTGTGCCCAGTTTGCAGACATTTGTTACATGTGAGCTGAGAAGAATCAGTTTTCTGCTCTTTGTGTAACAAAACAGCCATATATTTACCAATTCTTTTTCCATAGGTTCACAGTATAGTATCCTGTCACCTGTTTGGCAATTGGTGAGTAAACCGTCAACTCTGAGTCGCTCTCTGTCTAATGTGTGGACTATTCCTCCTAGATTTTCTACCGCCCTCGTAATCTGTCCATCCTCAGCAGAGCAGGGGATGTTCTTAACTCTAACACGCCAGTGATAAGGTTTGTCGTGATCATATACCTTTGAATTAGGATTGTGTGTATAAATTTTCAAAAGTTTTTTCCTTACTACCAGTCCCTCTGTTATTAAAGTGTCTCTGTCAGGTTCAGAGTCGGGATAAATGCGCCACATCCCTTTTACCCTTTGCAAACCTTTTAGGTGACTAGAATTAACAACATGATTGATAGCTTTATAAAGTTCAACATGGTTTAGAAACTGATTTTTGTTTGGTTTAACATCACCAAACAGATCTTTCTCTAGCAGGAAAACGGGTTTAACAGCACCTAGAATATCATCTGGATTCATAGGGTTTTCAACCAGATTATCGGCCATCAGACCATTTTTCACTGCGTTTTTGTATGACTCGGGTAAGATTTTAATATGGCTGACATCAGCACTGTTGATATCCGAACTTGCCATCATCAATATGGGTTTTTGTCCGTATATTTGCAAAAATATTAAAACTAGCTAGCTTTAATTCAACTATCTACCTAGTAGGCAACTATTTAGTATACTTATACTCTGGATAACGTCTTTTATACTACTATTTGACATGGATTTGTAGGAGCAAAAAAATTTCCGTGGAATACCTTCGGCCCCTTACGTAATATATATAAAGAATTCTTATGACACCATTAATGTAATACTGGGTTATTGTGAAAACCTTGGCTATAATAAATACTTGTATGTCCCCATTACTTAAAGAAACATGGATCATTTTATGTCCCCACCCCTACATGCTGGTTTACTTCTTTAATAAAACAACCTGTATTCAATCATATCTTATCTTTTAAAAAAAAATATAAACAGTTCCATTTAAACAGATAAAAATGACAATTCCATTCAATTTGTATTCATTTTATCCAAAATTTACAACATAAGTACAAATTCAAGATTTTTCATACTAATCTCCATTCCATGTTTTAGTATATGCCATATTGTGGTTCAAAATTTCAGAGCTTGTTATAAAATCCATTCTTCTGTCTTGAGATGATAAAAACAAAGATATTAGACACTTAAAACATTAAATATGCAAAATACTCAGCTGTAAAGTTGTCTTTGTTGCCTGTATTAATCTATGAAAAAGTAGAATTATGTCCCTTGGGAGTATTGATTTCCAACAAAAGTCCTTTCAAACAGAATAAAATGAAAAATAATATATGCCTGATATAATAAATGATAGAAACTACAAAATGAAGCACTATTGAAATATTTGCTGCATGAATTGCCAAGAATGTGATCAATTTGTTACACAGGATAGCATAAATTCTATCTACATTTAGCCTCAAGTGGGCCTCTTTTTTCTTAAATGGACAATTCAACACTGAAAATGCTTCTAGTATGACCAAATATTGCCTAACCCCATAAACAGTAAGTACTAAACCCGACAATTTGCCATTTTAATAGATTATGTCTAGAGAAATACCCAAGTGATACATGATTTAGGGAATTACACAGCAAAAGAGGCAAATATTTCAGTTAAAAATATTTGTCGTGACTTGAATTCTGGTGTTTTCAATTGAATTAATCATTGCGAAAGGTGAAAACAACTACAAAAGAACTATAGTTTGGTGCATTTTATACAATATAGTTGATATTGAAATCCTAGAATAAAGTTTTATATCAGTACCCATCAATTTGACTTATTATTATGACTCAGCACTTTTCTCAACACAGTATTGTTCTCAGTTAAAAAATTCTATTCTTTGTGATAAAAATCAAATGTACTTATCAAATGCTTCAAAATAGTAAAATATGACTGAAGTCTGATTGATTTTGATTTCCCTTGCTATCTTGAGTATAGGGAAAACGGTACTATTTATTCTGCCATAGGCGACAATACTAACATTTTCTAAATTTACCACTTTTTATAATAAAAACCTGGATAAAACAGTTATGTGTGGTGTTAGAACTTTATTATTCTATTTTAAAAATTGAAGCCAAATAGTATCATGACCAATTTCCAACGGAGCTTGTTTATTTTATCCATGCCCACCGTCATTTTACACCAAATTTATGAAATTTTGGAAGCCTTTTCGAATAATTCTCTAGAAAATATTTCAATAGGTTTTAAAATTTATATTGTAAATATACACACTGCAGTTATTCATAGATAAATAAAAAAATATATTGTACCCTTACATCCAATCACAGCGCTCCTAATTTGACTTCCTTCACCTGCCTTGGGTACACAAAAGGCCAACCTAATGCTGGGAAAATGTAATAGTACCGTTTTCCCTATACTGTGACATTAAGATATAAAGAATTCTTATGACACCATTAATGCAATACTGGGTTATTGTGAAAACCTTGGCTATAATAAATACTTGTATGTCCCCATTACTTAAAGAAACATGGATCATTTTATGTCCCCACCCCTACATGCTGGTTTACCTCTTTCTCTACTTCTTTCATAAAGGCTTAATAAACAACCTGTATTCAATCATATCTTATCTTTAAAAAAAAAAATATAAACAGTTCCATTTAAACAGATAAAAATGACAATTCCATTCAATTTGTATTCATTTTATCCAAAATTTACAACATAAGTACAAATTCAAGATTTTTCATACTAATCTCCATTCCATGTTTTAGTATATGCCATATTGTGGTTCAAAATTTCAGAGCTTGTTATAAAATCCATTCTTCTGTCTTGAGATGATAAAAACAAAGATATTAGACACTTAAAACATTAAATATGCAAAATACTCAGCTGTAAAGTTGTCTTTGTTGCCTGTATTAATCTATGAAAAAGTAGAATTATGTCCCTTGGGAGTATTGATTTCCAACAAAAGTCCTTTCAAACAGAATAAAATGAAAAATAATATATGCCTGATATAATAAATGATAGAAACTACAAAATGAAGCACTATTGAAATATTTGCTGCATGAATTGCCAAGAATGTGATCAATTTGTTACACAGGATAGCATAAATTCTATCTACATTTAGCCTCAAGTGGGCCTCTTTTTTCTTAAATGGACAATTTCAACACTGAAAATGCTTCTAGTATGACCAAATATTGCCTAACCCCATAAACAGTAAGTACTAAACCCGACAATTTGCCATTTTAATAGATTATGTCTAGAGAAATACCCAAGTGATACATGATTTAGGGAATTACACAGCAAAAGAGGCAAATATTTCAGTTAAAAATATTTGTCGTGACTTGAATTCTGGTGTTTTCAATTGAATTAATCATTGCGAAAGGTGAAAACAACTACAAAAGAACTATAGTTTGGTGCATTTTATACAATATAGTTAATATTGAAATCCTAGAATAAAGTTTTATATCAGTACCCATCAATTTGACTTATTATTATGACTCAGCACTTTTCTCAACACAGTATTGTTCTCAGTTAAAAAATTCTATTCTTTGTGATAAAAATCAAATGTACTTATCAAATGCTTCAAAATAGTAAAATATGACTGAAGTCTGATTGATTTTGATTTCCCTTGCTATCTTGAGTATAGGGAAAACGGTACTATTTATTCTGCCATAGGCGACAATACTAACATTTTCTAAATTTACCTTTTTTTATAATAAAAACCTGGATAAAACAGTTATGTGTGGTGTT